GACACGACGCAGTTCTGAGAACGGGGCTTTAAGCTTGTTTCATATAGACGCGAATCGCGAATTGCGAAAAGCGATTCGCCAAAAAATATTCGCAAAATTTGGACCTATTTCATACAGTCGCGAATTTTCAGGGACATTTCATTTTTGCTCCACTGAAAGTTACCAAAAAAAAATCATAACCTGAGATAACTTAATTTGTTTTATACATATTTATTCGTGTTTACGATCTTTATTTTATATTTTATAGCATACAATATGAGTTTAAATTTGTTTAATAATTATGAATATCGATTACGATTGTGGGATTGGAATAGAATAAGGTGTAAAATTGCCATTTACTTATTGTTAAAACGTAGAAGAGAATGGGTTTATAGCACAGGTTTATAGGTCATTTATGGGCCATTTGGGACATGTGAAATATTCAAATTTCGTAAGCAACAAGGTGCTTGTCGCAGTTTAATTCAAAAAATAAGGAAGAAAAATGAGAAAAAATTTAGGAATTTTCACAGATTGTCTGTATAGGAGTTTGATAACTTGGTTGAAGTTGAAAAATTGTCGCCATATATATCAAAAACATATTATGTACGAGAACCCATTTCAACTGGAGAAATGCTTTCAGTTACTTTGCGGCAGCGTCGTCAAAATAATCGATAACCGGATCACAACACCATTCTGCGCAAACGCGTACCTTAAAATCGCGCGAATATTCGCAAAAAGTTGAAAACACTTTAACTTTCCCGCCCCCCAAATTTTAAATCTTGCGAATCGCCAAAATCTTAACATTTCTGACAGCGCCGCCATGATCAGTAAAATTGGACCAATGAGAGCAGTTTCGCAAAATCGCAATTCGCGTCTATAGGTTTGTTCTCACAGCGTGTTCCCAACATGTTTGTGACTTCTTCCAAACCGGTGTTAATGCGCAGATCTCAAATAATGCAGTTTCTTGTCGATTTCAAACATGTTTCAAACTGTCTGTGCGAACAGCGAATCCCCTACTCTTCTTTTTTGATCTAATAATACCACTAATTTTAACTCCTACGTAATACCGAATAAAGAAGAAAACGAACAGGGAATTAGCAAAAGACATCTTTTAATGTTTTTGGTTTTGTTCTTTTTAATGTTTTAATGTTTTGTAATTCTGATTCTTGGGCCTGACCCGTTCCTCCATCAGCTCTTCTAGGTCTGTGTCCGTATCCGAAAATTCAGACGCCTCAGATTCTTTGGAAGATGTTAAATCGCTCATTTCTTTTCTTTACTTTTTGAAGAATAAAACACTAAACAAAAACAACACATGTTTTGTAGGTTAAGTTTACCAATTAATGACGTCGGGTCGCAATACGCATGCGCCGGATACTTTACTTGCAAAAGATCCGCGAACAGGTCTGCCTGTCAGCTAACAATCAGAATTTTCTGTGCGAACAGCGTACTGTTGATTGGAAACCAATCAAACATTTCTGTGCGAACGCGTTTTAACCTATTGCGCATGATTATCTGTTGGAAATATGTTTCTTACAGTTGTGAGAACAAACCTTATATGAAACAAGCTTTAAGTTGTCATTCAGGGTGCAGCAAATACGTTTTAATAAAATATACGGAGAGTACCGCTTAAATTCCTGTCCCGATGTTGAAGGATGGCTATAGAATGTCAATGCATTTCCTACATAAGTCTATCCTTGTTCGGGAGGAGGTTTTCTGCGCTTGCTCGATCTGTAAGCACTTTGATTGGACAGTTCCAAATCATATGATATGTTTTGTTTTGGTTTTATTTATTTTAAGTTGAGGTTAAAGACGTTCTAATTGAATTAAATCTTTCGAAAAATTGGAAGCTTTTTGTTAAATATTTTGAAATCAAATAAGTTTGATAATGTAACATTATGCGCATATTTGTCAATTGAGATATTTTAATTGTATCCAACATGTTATGGCAAAACACTTTCAACCAAAAGTTTGCAGATATCTTCGATTTAGTTATTTTCGAATGTTTATTTTGTTTATATGTATTACAAACTCAAGGAGCAACAGTTTTTTACAAGTAGTGTTAATTTTGATGCTGGTGCAATACTTCTACTCGTTAAAATAAGATTACAGACATTTAAAAAAATAGGCTATGGAATAGGTATATAAAAATTATTTTATATCTGTCTCACAATGGGGGGCTCCTAGTAGCGTAATAGGTATCTGCAGTGCGATTCTGTAAACATTTCCCTGTCTAGTGACTCATCAATCGTATACAAATAGCATAGGCTCGATAGGAAATTTCTTGCTACAGAGCTTACAGAATCCCATTGCTGATTTCTAAAATTCTTTTTCTAGATAGGCTTCCGCATCGTAAAAACTCCTATTTTATGGTATGTAATTAGTATTCTGAAGGTATTAAAATATTTTAATATCAATATAGTTTTTTCACTGAAACTCGAGTTAAATCTTAATATACATTATTCATATTGTCGTTTTAGAGATTGTGCTTTTATACTTACTATTATGAAAATTTACTGAATAAAATATATAGTTGCAATCCTTTTACTGAACTCCTTAATTTCTTGTTTTATGAGGGGATAATTTTTGCTTATTTAGGTACTAATTTTAATCAGACCATTTTTTAATGAACTCATTTATATTTATATCATATCGTTCTAAGTAGACTTTGTTGTGTTAGACAATTATTATTAAATAAAACGAATGAAAAAAAGTGACAGGTACGATATTTTTTTTTTAAATTCAAAAAATAATTTAGTAAAACCACAATTATTAAGAAATTGTCTTAAAAACTTCGTAGTACAAATTGCATTATTTCACTTTTTTTAAAATTCAAAAAATAATTTAGTAAAACCTCAATTAAGGAACTGTCTTAAAAACTTTGTAGTACAAATTGCATATCTATTTCACTCGACTTAAAAATTGCAGCAAAACAAAGTATAACAGTACATTTTTTACTGTCTATTGTTTCTTTTACTGCCCATGTATTTATGATCAATAATCAACATCAGTCCTGGTTTAAAATGAAACAAAAGTAATTCTTTATTATTAACATATTTTTTATTAAACAAATATAACGTACATATTAAGTTTATACATAAATCAAGCTAGATACAAAAAATATAATTATTTACATTGTTGCATTAATTGTAAATACTCTTTTATATTATGAAAAAAAAACAATAATAATTTACAATAAGACAGTCTGTGTGTAACTGTGTAAGCATTATAATTAGCCTTATGTAGTCTCTATTTTTAGTCTTTACATTATAATGTCTTTTTTATTTTAAAATAGTAAGACTAAATATAATGCTTTTAACAATTATTGATTTTTGAATAAAATTAGTTTCGTATATTTTTGTCTTATATTAACATCCCTTTCATTTCTGATTTTGCTTTCATGAAACAAACGAACATCGAGAAAAATTTCTATTATTAATTTGGTTAGTTGGCTTCTACCACACAAAAAGCAGTAGCCCATTCGCATTGTTCTATTAATTAAACTACAGCAAAAGTCTTTAAAACTAAATCACAAAATTGTCAATAAACGCACAAAGATTAAAATACAAACGAAAACACAGTACACGTGGAAAACACAGAAAGTTAGAGAAAACACTAATGGCGACTGCCCAAGTCCAAACTGAAAACAAAACGCCGACGACGCGTCCAAAAATAAATCGATAACCCATCTCGACACCATTCGGCCAATAGAAAAGTAGCATTTCGGCGCATGTGCATTACATCCAGCTACTGAACAAGGATGGACTTATGTCAAACTCGATCTTCTGTCCTTCAATCCTGGGACAAAAATTCTCTCATTGCTCTTATGGGGAGGCCGCGGTATATGTAAATTTAAATGTATTTGGGGTGCAGCCACACTATCAGGGTTCGGAAGTAGTTAATTAAGACGTAATTTACCTGATTAACTACGTGTAGTTTTTCTTCAAAAACTACGTCTTTTCCCGTTCATTAACTACATGAAAACTACGTTAATAAACTATGTATTGATATTATGAATAATTTTCCTTTGTACGAGGTGTAATAGAGATAATATGATGTAAATATTATACTTAAAGCCATATTTCTCCTGTTTTCTTAAATACATTATGTGTTTTTAAAGCCTCAACTGATTATAACCTCACCTCAAACCTTTGACATTTGAAAGTTACATACATAAGTTACATAAACTACGCCCTCTACATAAACTATATTAACTACATGCAATGTAGTTTATGTAGTTTTTAAAAGTAACATGTAGTTTTCCGAACCCTGCACACTATCCTAAAAACAGCGTATCGGCGTAACGGCGTAACGACCTTGAATCGATTTCCAGTAATTCTATTGGCTGAAATTTTTGACAGATGAATTTGACAGATAAAATTTCTGACAGATGAATGTTTCAGCCAATAGAATTACTGGAAATCTATTCAAGGTCATTACGCCGTTACGCCCTAAGGTTACGCCGATACGCCGTTTTTAGGATAGTGTGGCTGCACCCTCATAGAATAACTAAAGTCCCGTTCTCAGAACTGCGTCGTGTCGCGGGCGACACAGTTTGACATTTCAAACAACCAATGAGAACTGTACTAAATTTAAAATTGACAGTTGTTTGAATTTTGTACAAATCTGATTGGTTCTTTTGTCGTGTCGCTGGCGACAGTCGCAGTTCTGAAGCCCCGTTCTCACAAGCCCCGTTCTCAGAACAACGTCGTGTCGCGGGCGACACAGTTTGACATTTCAAACAACCAATGGGAGCTGTACTAAATTTAAAATTGACAGCTGTTTGAATTTTGTACAAATCTGATTGGTTCTTTTGTCGTGTCGCTGGCGACAGTCGCAGTTCTGAGAACGGGGCTTCAGAACTGCGTCGTGTCGACAGCGACACTGATTGACACTTCAAACGACCAATGGGAGCTGTACTAAATTTAAAATTGACAGCTGTTTGAATTTTGTACAAATCTGATTGGTTCTTTTGTCGTGTCGCTGGCGACAGTCGCAGTTCTGAGAAATTTTTTACTGATTGTCATTGTTGTTTGTTGATTGTCATTGTTGTCATTGTTGTTTGTTGTCATTCAAGTTGTCTCTGAAAGCGGTAAACGTGCGGTAAACCTTTCGGTAAACGAAAGATGTTCATTTTTACTGAAACGCTTGTTATTTAATCATAAGAAATATATAGTCATATAAGTAATTAGAAGAATAGAAACTAGGTAATTAGAAAGAAAAGAACACAAGAAATACTAGCAAGAATTGTTTTTTTCAATCAACTTATCAAGGATTTTTTCTTATCCTTTGAATTAATCATGTCTGTAATTGTGTCTGCTATACAAGTAAAATGGTTTCTTAAGCAAATGTGCACCAACAAATTGTTTGTAGTTGATACTTCTAACTTTAGAGTTGGACGTTGTCCCACTGCACAAGTGATTTTGAATAGTAATAAAACCTCGAGGACACATTCTTCTTTTCTTGTAAATGTAGAAGGGCATCTATTTATTCAAGATTTAAAGGTACGTTAAATATGTAATACAAGAATTGTATTTGAATAATTTGTTGTGTTTTTAGAGTGTTAATGGCACATTTGTTAATGGCCAACAAATTGAAGTATATGTTCAACATCGAGTTTTTCCTGGAGATATTGTGAGCTTTGGTCTAGCTCATGAAAAATTAGCTGAAAACGAAAAAGATAGAAATACATTTTTTGAGGTTTTGATGGAAGTACCAAAACCCTTGGTAAGTAACAATAAAATGTTATTGTGTCATTTAGCATATAAAATTGCTTTTCATTTATTATGTATAATTTGTCTTAGGAACCAGTAGAGATAGATTTAGTAGACTCGACGACTGGTATATCTGAAAACAAACCTGTTGCCATAATTGATCTAGTTGAAACTCCAAGTAATGAAAATATAGATAGTAGTACTAATAGTCAAATAGGATTACATAGTTCAATCTTAGAAACACCAAAGGAATTTTTAAATAATTTGTTTGGAAGCTCACCTAGATCATTGAATTTAGGAGATTCTGTAAAATCTGATAAATTTCAATATAAGACAAGTGTGGATTTAGGTGAAAATCAAGATGTTTCAAAACTAACAGTATCTGGAATGAAAGAGTTTAAGGGTGAGAGCAAAACCAATGTTATTACTGATGGTAGTTTAGAGTTGAATAATGAGTGTGAAGAAAATGTATTCTATATTAATGATAGTGATAGTGAAATCTCTCTGGACAATATTTCAAAAGAGAGAAATACCACATCCAACCTGTCTAATGTTTGCTCAGATGTTTTAAGCCGTAATATTACCACTGATAACAGTAATAGTCCTAGTACAGACTTTAATAAAGGAAAACATGAAAGTACTGACTTTATTAGTGAATATAAGGAGTTAAAATATGCACTAAATAACAGTTTTCTTGCTAAACAGGTAATAAATTGCCAAAATGCATCAAGTGATTTGAAAAATAGTGGTAAAAATTACAACGACAACAATTTAAGAAGAAAAAGTGATACAAGTGTAGACCTAAAGTCTAAAAATAAGATATTTAAAGACGCTAAAACAATGCAGCAAAATAAAATGCCTCTTAAACTAAAAAATAATTTATTAACAGATAAGGAATCCTCAGACAGTTCATTATTAAACAAAATTAAGAACAAAGGTAAATGTATGATAGAAAAGTTGGGAACTACTGAAAATAAAACAAATGTAAATATGCCTGATATTGAAAAAGTTGAGGAGAATGTGTTAGACGAAGTATTACTAGTCTCTTTGGTTAAAAGTAATACAAACAAGATAAATAATCAAATGAAAGTAAATTTTGAAGATAATTGCAACTTAAGTCGTAATGAAGAAGTAGACCATAAAAGAAGCTCAGAAAATTTACTCTCTTCACCTATTGGAAGTTCTAATAACAGTAATATTAATAAAAGTGACAGATCTTTTTCAAACAGTTTTTCCACATGTAAAGATGCATCAATTGTTATTGATGTGACTGACGATGATGATGATGATTTTTCATGTAGTCAAATTTTCCAAATGTCTGAAAAAGTAAAAACAGTAGAACAAGATGATAATTTCCAAAAAATTAAAAGGGAATTGGCTGAAATGGACTTTTGCAATGACGAAATAATTTTAAATCAAGTACCAGTTGACTTGGAAAATGATTTTGAGAATTCTGGATTTGAAAATACGCAAGAGATGTGTGACTATTTAGAGGATGATTTAGATAATATACAAGAAAATGCTATAGAACCTGATATATCAAGTAAGTCAAAAGATACAGAAAATAATTGCTATTTGACAAGTAAAGAGTTAATGGTAGGCCCATCCAAAGATGATTGTCATAAGCTAGACATAAAAAAAAATAATATAGTGGATGAATCTCATAGAAATAAAAAATCAAACAAAAAATCACCAGGAAAGTTGTCAGTGAAGGTTGATACTAAAGCAAGCAATAAATGTGCTATGGTTAAAAGGAAGAACTCATTAGAAGAATCTAAGAATAAGAAAAAAATAAAAGCGTCTATAACTACCCCTGGCTTGTTATCTAAATGCGACTCAAAGAGTATCCAATCTGAATTGAAAAAAAGACATTCTGGATCAGGTCTTGAAATAGACAAATCAACAAAAAGTGCTATTAGAGAAGAGAGACGTAAGAAACTTAAGCAATTAGAAGAAAGTAATGCTAAAAATAAAATAGCAAAGAAAGTATGTGATAATATTTCTACAGTAAAAGTAATGCCACAAGCAACAACAAATCGGGGCTCATTTTTATGTGAAGAACCTTCCTTAGTTAAAGTTGCAATACAAAATAAATCACCAACATATAAATTGAAACCAATAGATTTACCTAAGTTGCCACCTTTGACTAGAATTAGTGACACTACACCAAGCAATTCGTTTGGAGGTAATACTAAAGGCAGATATAATTTAAGGCACAGTAGTGGTAATAATGTTGTACAAACCGCACACCATATTTCAAGTACAACATCTAATAGGGGTCAGAGTTTACCACAATCTTCTATAGAAACTACAAGCAAAGCAACTAAAAGTAGTGATATGAATTTTAAAACCCCTGCTACTACAAGAAACACCAATTTACAAAGGTCGAACTCAAATTATAGTACAATATCAACTATAGAAACTTTGTCTAGTCGATTAATGTATCCTAATGTCCCCACTGCTACTCTAAAAAATACGTCGAATCGACATTTAATAAACTATAGCACTGACGATATTGTTCACAAAATTGTTCATTGGTCTCCTAATTGGCTAGTAGAACAAGTTGATATAGATATTAGTCCACCTATTAACGATCCACCAGCAAGCAAAATTCCATTAAATTTTCGAGATTTTAATCATTACTATGATACATTCTATAAGATGGTACTATTGGAAAAATGGCATTATTTATTTAAAGGATTCAGGGAAAGTAAGGAGTAAGTATTTAAATTTGATAACTGCATTAAATGTTTTCCATTCAAAGATCTAATAATATGTTTTTGGTCTAATTTATTTAATGTATTGTTGTGGCGTTTTTACTTGGTTCCATGTGTATAATTTTAAAGTGTAATTTATTTAACACAACTTATTTTCACTAAGTAACAAACAATAAAAACTATTTATAAACTTATTTTCAACTGTTTATCTAAGAAATTTATTTAGCGCGGGATAAGATACACGTGCGTCTATCGACACTGATTCTGTCCCCTTCCCGCCTTAGAGGCGTTGCACACACGCCGGAACCGGATAGACGGTGCCGGCCGTCCGGCGATGAGGTGCATAGCATCTTATGGGAGCTTTCACACGAGCCGGCGCCGGACAAGAATCGGATTCGCGCCGGATTGTCACCGGATACCACCATTGCCAGCACGGTCGCCGGACGGCGCGCCGTCCGGTCCGAACTCGTAGTAGTACATTGTTTTAGATTGACGCTTTCACACTTGTCCGTCCTAGTCGCCCGGTTTCGTTCATGAGAGAGACTTTGCGTTTCGCATTATTGGAAATTTGTAAAATTTGTACGTTGTAAGTTAACTATAGCGACGGCAAGTGGTGTTTTGGAAGTAGATACTAAGTTTTTAATACCACTTTTTGAAGCCAGACCAGTCCACTGGCATAAAACCTTCTATTTATAAAAATACAAAAACGAAACAAGTATGGAGTACGAATACAAGTATGGAGAGAAATTTGCATCAAACTGAAAGATGATTTTCCCTGCTTTTCTTTTCTAATAACGACAGCGACGATTCAAAACCACAAAACAATAATATGTTCACGTTCTATACCGTCTCGTCGGCGCGGCGTCGCGATCAAAAATGCAATTGTACTGGCTCAAGCCGGGTGTAAAATCGGACTAGTGTGAAAGGTCATAGTGAAACCGGGTAGCCGGTGCCGTCTATCCGGTTCCGGCGTGTGTGCAACGGCTCTTAGGCATCGCTTCTTTTAGATCCGTTGCACACACGCCGGAACCGGGTAGATGGTTACCCGATGTTGAGGTGCATAGAATCTTGTGTGAGTTTTCACATGTGCCGGCGCCGGTTAAGAATCGGATTCCCGCCGGGTTTGCACCGGATACCACTACTACCAGCACGGTCGCATTGATTTAAATTGATACTTTTACACTTGTCCGTCCTAATCGCCCGGTTTTGTTCACATGAGAGAGACTTTGCGTTTCGAAATGTAAAATTTGTACTTTGTAAGTTAACTATATGCAAGTAGTGTTGGAAGTAGATACTGAGTTTTTAATACTACTGCTTGGAAGCCAGACCAGTCCACTGGCATAAAACCTTGTATTTCAAAACCACAAAACAATATTTATTTATCGTATGGCTCACATACATGCAAGAAAACCTCTTAAACATAGACATAAAATAAACTACAACATAAATATAAAAACAAATATGGCAGTTGGGGGTTGGAACCTTTGGTGTTACACAGCAAAATAAAACACTAAATCACCACAAAACACCAAAACACTTTTACTTTTACACGGGACGCGCGTTTCGCTAACCATGTTAGCATCATCAGCAGATGATTAAAACTGAAATACAATCTACAATTTGAGCGAAAAAAGAGACAGTTGTTAAAAAAACAATAAAACAATAATGTGTTCACGTTCTATACCGTCTCGTTGGCGTCGCTATCAAAAATGCAACTGAGATAGCTCAAACCGAGTGTTAAAACAATAATAACAGCGCTTTCAGATGGAGCGGACCGTCCGCGACTTCGAGCAAGTACCATTAGTTTATATGAACAATTTCACATGGGTCACGTATGCTCGTCCAACGGCTATCTTGAAAAAACACGACGGAGGGTCCGCTCCATCTGAAAGCGCTGTAATAATACTAAGCGAAATAGACCCGAATTATCGAGGTTAGACAATTAGGTGCATAGAGAAGGCTGCTTTGTTCGAGAATTTCTAGTGTATTCCATTCGTTCGTAAATCATTGCGGTCTCTCTGCATCGATGCGATTTTAGAAGGTTATATTAGGGCAGGGCTGGTTTCGCAACAGTATATATGTTACGGGTAATATGCGAAATTAGTTAATTCGCGAATTATCCGGTTAAATCGCGAATTAGCTAAATGCGATGGATAAAACCGAAATTGGTTTTAGTTCCGCGTATTATCCACAAGGACCAGGTTAAAACGCGAACTACCCAAGGGCAACCGTATAAATTGTTTAGTTTTGTATTCATTGTCAACATGGGCAGCAATATAGAAAGCTTAAGCAAGTTAAAGATGCGTTTTAATGAAGAATTTTTTAAAATCGCAGTTACGAAAAGTGGTATTTCCGGCTATTTAACAGTGATGATTGTTATAAAGGCGGATTCTCACGACTCGTGTACTTGACAAATATTTGTAATTAGTATACAGGGTATACACGGGCATCTATACAGAATTTCTAAGTTATATATTTATTATTGGAGCTGCGCCGCACTCCCGCTAGACCCTGTATGCCAATAAAAAATACTTGCCAAGAACGCGAGTCGTCAGAGCGCGCCATAATATAATTAGGCCAGTGCAAATAATTTTGAATTTGCAAAAATTTTTAGAAAGCTGCGACCATTGAAAATAGTTAGCCTTAGTAACCCTTATTAACATACTAAAAGTCCCCATTTGTCCGATGTGTGCGTCATCAAAAAAAATCGGCCGCCATCTTGAATTTTGGTAGTTTTTGGGAATAAATGTAAATAACTCGAAAACGGTGCGTTATAGCGAAAAACTTCGAGAGGTAAAAAAATTAAAGAGAATCTGCCTGATTTCTGTTTTATTTTTAAGACTGGAAATTCCTAGATTACCAAAGATTTATCAGTTTAATTTTACAAAATAAATAGTATTTCTATTTTTTTTTGTAAATAAAATTTATGTAATAAAATTGCACCTCGTTATTTGCATACGCCTATGAATGTGATATTAATAATTGCTCGCTTAACATATTATCTGGCTAATTCGCGAAATAGCGAAGATATAACCAATCATACTATATAATTCGCGTTCTAACCGGATAATTTGCAAACATATTTAAAAAATGTTTATTAACTGACTATGTTGGTTAACTCGCATTCTAGCCGGTTAAAGCTTGATTTTCATGCATCTGTTGTCCGACGATATTAATTTTATTGGTAGAATTTAAAGATTTTGATTGGTTAGAAAATAACGCAGATTTTAAATTTATTGCATTTTCATGCCTCCGTTTATCGGATATACGTTGGTGTCATTTTATATTTTCGTTTCCATAACGATTTTGCTATTTTACTAATATTTTTATTAAGGTTAGATATGGGTTAGATGAAATTTGGCAAAAAAGTGTCAAAACGTCCGTTATCGTATGAACTGGTCCGTTGACGGGCTGAAGTAAAATATTTACAGATGAAAAGTGGCGCGAAAACACTATGACCAACCGGAGTACCGTCGGACCATCGTATCAACGTATAACGGATGCATGAATCAAGCTTAAATTCGTGAATTAGCTAGTTCCGCGTATTACCCGTAACATATACTTATACCGGGTAGCCTACTAAGAATGGACGCCGGCCGCATCTCAGAAACTACAATCAGAAACCAGGATTTTTTTTAAATATGCAGGTGAAGAGGCATTTTAAATATTGTTATTGTAATCCATGCGAAACTTGTATTTTTTTTTATATATCGTATTTTCCTCTATCTCATAGAATAAAGTGGTGGGGGAAGGTTAAACTTGCTTTTTTGTAAAGGATCACTCTGGTTTGAATTAACCATATATGTATACCGGCTGTTGCATCGTCGAGCGGGACATAGGAAATTCCATGTAAATTTTAATGGGGTCAATTATTGGCTTCCCTAATTATTTTAGAAAATAATTCTATTTAAGTTTATTGAAGAGCACTGAAACCCACATGCAAAAGAATAACTTTAGATATTTTTGATTAGCCCGTTTACGAGTTATCGCCGATTTCTTTTTAAATATTTCTCCTTTCTTATGGCCCTGTATTTACTTATGAGCACCAGTCAAGGTAAAAGATAACTGTCAAATGAAGTTGTCATTTCAGAAATTTATCTATTTAGTGCTTTATTATTATTATTAAAAACTCATACCTACATCGAAAATATTAGCCATGAATTACACTACCGAAGAAAAAGTATTGATGATTAAATGGTATTATCAAGGAAATAGTTATCAAAAGGTGTCGGACATGTTTGCTGCTCTGTATCCGAATAGACCGATACCTGGAAAATCTACAATCGCAAGGAATATCCAGAGATTTGAGACCAAAGATACCCTAATAAATAACTGCAGATGTGAAGCAAGGCAGGAATAAAGAGAAGATGCAAGAAATGATACCGAATTGGAAGTTTTATTGTGCGTGGAAGAGAACGATGGAAAGATCAGCACAAGGAAACTTGAGGATGAAATAGGAATAGATCACACTACAGCGTTTCGAATTTTGAAACGACATAAATACTATTCCTTCAAATATGAAAAGCACCAAAAGCTACGAGATGGGGACGAAATACGGCGGCAGGCGTTTTGTTTTGATATGATGGAAAGAGCAAACACGGATAGGGAATTTTTAAAAAAACATATGTTTCACTGACGAATGCACGTTTACCTTAAATAATGAACCCAATGTTCAAAATTATCGATATTGGAACAAAGAAAACCAACACAGGTTTGTCGAAACAAGGACGTAATATCCACAAAAAGTAAATGTTTGGGCAGGGATATTCGGACACAATATTATCGGGCCATTATTTCTTACGCGAAATTTAAATGCAGAATATTATTTGGAACTACTCGAAAATCATATTTTACCTGCTTTACATGATGCCGCTAGGGAAAATCAGGAAGTTTGGTACCAAATGGATGGCTGCCCGGCACATAGTACCCTGGCTGTTCGGGAAAATTTAGACAATAGTTTTAACTGAAACGTCATTGGCCTAAATCATACAGTAAATTGGCCAGCAAGGTCTCCTGATATTTCGCCAAATGATTTCTTTCTCTGGGGCCATTTAAAAAACATGATATACAAGGATAAAAAAGACCCAAATCTAGACGAGTTAAAAAATGCTATTTCTGCCGAATGCAATAGAATTTCAGTTTACCAACTAGCGAATGTAAGAAGAGAATTTTATGATCGCCTGGGTTATTGTCTGGCAGTCGATGGAGGAATATTTGAACATCTTAAATCTAAAGTTCTAACAATTTAATAGTACCTAAATTAATAAGTTATTGAATATTGTAATAATACTATAATTAACCTTGTAATTGGTTACTTTATTTTACTTTAATTCATATTAATTTGTATTTATAAATACATCTTTAAGATGTCCGATGTAGGAATGAGTTTTCAATAATAATAAAGCACTAAATAGGTAAATTTATGGTAAATTTCTGAAATGACAACTTCATTTGACAGTTATCTTTTACCTTGACTGGTGCTCATACGTAAATACAGAGCCATAATAAAGGAGAAATATTTAAAAAAAATCGGCGATAACTCGTAATCGGGCTAATCAAAAATATCTAAAGTTATTCTTTTGAATGTGGGTTTTAGTGCTCTTCAATAAACCTAAATAGAATTATTCTCTAAAATAATTAGGGAAGCCAATAATTGACCCCATTAAAATTTACATGGGATTTCCTATGTCTCGTCCGACGATGCAACACCCGGTATATATTAACTACTATATGAAAGACTATATGGATTGTCGCCTATACCTGTAATGTGTTGGAACTGAAGCCGAGTCAGAGACAACTAGATAACCGGTCCATGTATATTTTACATAAGTCCTTTTGTTAGGCAGACACTAACGCAATAGCGCAACTCCAAAATTCAGGATATCGATTAGCCCTTACTCTGCTATATCAAAAAAATTACAATATTTATATCAAACAAATTTTCCATTTATTACAATAGCAATATTTAAAATACCTCTTCACCTGCATATTTTTGAGATAAATCCTGTTTTCTGATTGGCCATCACATGCGGACATTTCTCTTGGTCGATTTATTTATTGCAATTTTTTTCCAAATTTCCAAGTTATATGATAAGTACTTTCTGAGATACACCACCCTTGGCCCTTGGCCACCCGATACATATCTAAGATATTTAGTTTATTCAATACTATATATTTAATACTATTCAATTTAGTAATGTTCTGTTTTCTATAGATAGAAGTGAATTGAATGGAAAGCAGTCTCATAAAGTTGAATTTCTTATTGTATTTACAATTTCTTATTTAAAAATTCTTGTTTTAGGCAGCCCAGAAAAGCTCAAATTACACATGTACGGGTAATGAATGATTTGATGTATATCGACTGTATATGTAAGTATTCTAAAAGAGAAACATTTCTGAAAGGTTAGCATTGCTTATTTCACCATTTTAAAGTGTTGGCAAAATGTGTTTTAGATGTAGGAACGTACTGTAAAGTAAATAGCCCAAGGGGTGTTTCACTTGGGTAAAAAATGTATATGTACTGCCAAAATATTATTTAACTGCCAATGACTGCGAAGAAGACTGCCTCTCTGCCATATAATTATAATTTACTGCCGTAAGACTGATCCAACAACTGCCAAGAAAATGTACAGTACGTCTGCTGGATCTGTGTCTATGAAAGGAATGCGGACAAAAAACATTTAAATAAACAACAATATATTTTATTCGTCGACTTGAGTACGGCACCGCAAATCGCTCCGCCCACTCATTTTATTGGCTATTTGCAAATTTGTCGAATTTTTATTGAGAGACGAGAATTATGATCTAATTTTTTGCGAAAAACATCGAGAGAATATCGTTTCCCCTCACACGAATACCCCGTAGCTATAGAACGGACAGACGTACTGTACATGTAATTCCAATAGTGAGACACCACTTTTTACCACCATTTTTATTCAAAAGCAAATTATGTTTATATTATTTTTGGGTGCTGTTTGTCAAAATTATCCTTTTTATTGATGCGCACACTACACAAATTTATATAATAATAATGTAGTTTATTGACAATTCCTTGTAAATTTTTACTTATTTTATAAATTTATAATTTACAATAATGAATACAGTCTATACTGTCTAAAATTAAAAAAAATATATAATAATTAAACAGTTCTGTAATAATGAATTTAGTAAGGCTGTATTCCGTTGCAAAACCAGGCGAACCAGACCGGTAAACTACGGTAAAGAGCGGTTCCTGAAAAACATCGGTTTGATACGGAACGGTTTGGTAAAATACTGGAAACGTCAAATGTTGACGTTTTCTAAATTTCAATACCTCTATTATAAAATTTATCTTTTATGCATTTTTCATGTACTTATTCTCTGCTTTTACGTTTGCTTCTTTTTTTCAATGGAGTTTAATATTGAAAAGTGCTTTATTAATAAATTGTTAAAATCGTTAAACAGCTCAAGTGAAGATTTGCAGGTCCAATATTAAAACAGATAAATTATAAATAAACGAATCTAATCAATATTTATATTTTTATAGTTTACAAAACATTCATGATTACTTGTTGTCTTGTTTTTGATGTCTTCTTTAAATGTTTCTGACTTTAAGAAACAATGACTGCATGATAAGTTCAAATGGTCTTAAAAGTTATTCTATTTAGTTAATGAAATTTATTTACCTTTACTGCCTACCTCCATTGCTTTTGGATATAAATACAAAATATTATTACAAATTTTAGAAATTAAATGAGAATTTCACTCTAACTTCCAATATTTGCTTAATTTCTGTCACATAAATGACATTGATTGACAAATAAGACCAGAAAAACCAGCCTTCTCGCGCTGGTTAGTTTGGTGACAGTTATAACCAAATTTTTCAGGAACCGTGTTCCGTAGTAAGAAAACTTTCAGGAAACTGATAGAAACGGAACATAAAACCATAACCAAGATAAGCAACGGAATGCACCCTAAATGTCCAGAACGGTTATTTGACATAATTTGACACAAAAATTATAACCTATAATTTGGCAAGAGTTTGACACAAATACGTTTAAATTACCTATACGGAGGGTACCGCTTAAATTCCTGTCCCGATGTTAAAGGATGGCTATAGAATTTCAATGCATTCCCTACATAAGTCTATCCTTGTGTGGTAGGAGGTTTGACTAAACAAGGTTGAACCTATGTCTTGAAACCATTCGGCTCGATTTTCTGTCCTCCTTCAATACTGGGACATAAATTGCTCTTATGGGGAGGCCGCGGTATAGGTAATTTAAACGTATTTGGTTTGACAAGTCTCAAAATTCTTAAGTCGAGTTTATACGAATCTGCGTCTGTGCGTTCATCGTTCCGTCACTCAAATAATATTGAAATATGATCTGTAATTTTTGAAATGACGGATTTGAGAACGTCAACGGTTAGGTTAGGTTGGTTAGGTTGATAAGGCCACATAGATATAGACATTTTTTATGACGGATTTATATGTACACCCATCCATAAGTTAACTTAAAAAATATTAGAAACTTTTTTTAGTGAAATAAATAGATCGGTATCGAGGTCATCTGCTTTTTTCTATCAACGTCTGTTGAAATCTTACCTGAGTAATAAAACAAGAGTATAAAAATAAAAACTCTACCGACGACTGATTTTTTAGTAAAAATGGTCGTCCTAATATTTGCTACATTTTTTTTTCATTCCAAAAAAATTGGTGATTTTTTCTTAAGCATACCTACAAACTATACAGGGAGTTCCAATAATCCATGTACATAAAATAACGACGTATTTTTTGAATCAAGATAATTTAATTGCACATAATTTAGCTCTATACAAAAGTGCCCTGTTTGTCCGTTAGAGGGCATTAATAAAAAAACAACCTTAATTTAAAATGTATGAAGCTTATTGGCAGATATTTATGATACTAACAAAATTCTGCATTTTCGCCTAGACAACTAGATTATTACCACATACTAGATTTTATGCGCCTACATATCTTAATGCGACAAGAAATTGTTTTTGTAAGTCAGCTTCGGAGAAACATTTTATTTTCTCAAGAAGTATGCGCAGTGGCGTTTTTTACAAGAGATAAAAAATTAGTAAATACTATAAGAACCATTTTGCGAAAGAAAATAGTCGTCAGTGGAGTTGGAAAATATTTCTTCTAAATTTATTTAGGGGTAGGGGTAGTTTTAACCTTTTTTGTACTTTTCTTATGTTTTTTTTGTTAAAGTCTAATGTATTACCACAGATTATACAGATTATAAACTTTGTTTTTTCTTTATTGTTTTTCGTGGTTCGGAATTTTCGGAATCGGGCACTAGTTAGGTTACTAGTTTGCGCACATAGCACGCCTACTTATGGCCTCTAAAATTGTGCACAGCGCCTGACCGGCACAGTTATTAGAGAGATATCGGGAAACCGAATAGCGTCATGCAGTATTTACGCGTACCTTATCCTGGTTACGATATGCGCGAGTCAATTTTTAACGCAACACCCGCTAATAACGTTACCGCCTGACGTAATTTGCGGATCAATTACACCAAGCATTATTTCTAAATAACGTTTAAAAATTGCTTAAATGGGCATCTGCGGGTATTTGACAACCGGGGCCGGCCGGCGAGATCTTTTATTTTAGGTTATGTTTGAATTGTTTTGAATGATTACTTTAGTTTTATTAGGTAATTTGATATTTAAGTAGCTGGGATTAGTTTTAATTAAATAAATATGGCTCAAAATATGGATTCCACCTCTTCCAATATTAAAGAACCTATAAAGAGGCTTAGGTTTATAGCAGATGACGACTTAGCCCTTCTAAGAGAATTTGTTGCTTGTTGCCCTAAACCCACTGGCAGACGTTGAACAATAAAGTACTGGAAATAAGCACTTTAGACCTTTAGTTTTAAAATACCTAGTAAACAAAACAATTTCAAAGTTTTAAATTCAAAGTTAGGTTAAGTTTAAATAGCGGACGCGACGCGAACAGAATTCTTTCCGATCCGATAACTATAAATGAAGAGAGTTAATACCACCTAACGTAAAGGAAATAACACCTGGCCTTATTAACGTCCATGCACGCTATTCGTTTTAGCGATATCTCTCTATTACGCTGTTTATTGTTATTTTACGCGAGTTTATTTTTGCGCACAGGAAATTTTACTCGTTTGCACATCGTCATAAAAAACAATTTTCGTACGACGAATTAGGGATAAGATTTTTATCTGTATACATATAGTATACCTAATCTGTGGTATTACCATCTAGTCTATACTAGTCAAATTGTATTTTTTGTGAGAAAGTTTTGGTGTAATTCTGATATTATTTTTGAATCCGAAACAAAATTTCGTGACGGAGCATTGAAAAAAATGCAAAAAAGCGTAAAAAAAGTGCGCAGCTCAATCAAAACAATTCCAACTTTTAATTTTGTATCGACAGTACCTGTACGGTTAGGTTATGAACGTTTTGTTTTGGTTTGGTAATTGGATGCTACAGTTGCTGTTTACTTATTGCTTGTTTGCTTACCATTTACCGCTTCTGGAAGGAGCGGTGCGCGATAGCCTGGTGCCTCCATATGGCGCGGAACAGTTCTGGAGCTTTATGACTCAGTTGAATGGAGTGAGAGTATCGCGTTCTTGAACAGTTCAGAGCTGCTCAACTGCGTGAAAGGAGGACAGCAAATGCATAGTCCACTCCCGGTTGGAATGGATTTTATGACAATAATCGTACAATGTCCGGTTTTCTACTGTGATGGAACAAGCCTATATTTGTGTATTTGGTCTATCACTGATTTTTTTTAATATCTGATAATTGTTTTAAGGTTATATCACCAAAGAAGAACTAAGAAAGGGACTGTATTATAGAAATGAAGACTTTTTACTAGTGGAATATAGAACAAGTGATAGCAACAAATATTACTTGTCACTAAATTTTGGCTTTGTTAGTAGATGCAAAAAAACAGAAGTATTAGAAAAGGACTTAGGTGAAATAAAATTACTTTGTAAGTTAAACATATATATGTTTAGTATTTTTTTTATTTAGATAATAGGATATTTAAATATCTAGTTTTTAAAAACACATACAGGGTGTCCCCATATTCCGTGCACATAGAACTACTACGCATTTTTGGAATCAAAATCAGTTCAAAAAAAGCAAAAAGACTCAAAGTCTCGGTCTCAACATTTCTCAACATTAAATGTTGAGACCGAGACTTTGAGTCTTTTTGCTTTTTTTGGATTTATAAACCAGGTCTCTTTGGAAATAAAGGACCCCTTTTTTAAATTTCAAAATCAGTTCATTGAACACAATTTGCCTCTATATAAAAGTTCTTGGTTTGTCTGTTCGAAGGCATCGAACTTTTAAAAAATAAACACATTTTTTAAGATTTTTTTAGAACCGTTATTCCGATTTGAATGATATTTGGTGTGCCTATGTTTCGCCAAGTGCTTTAACATTTTTTAATTGCAAAAATCATCAAAAGGTAGGGGTTACACTACCCCCACCCGTATATTAGTAGATATATTTTCTAACTCCACCTACAACTAATTTTTTTTCTTAAAATGTTATCCTAATAATTAATAAAATGGCTTCTAGTATTTACTAAATTTTTCGTCGCAAAAAAACGCTACATCGCATAGTTTTTAAGAAAAAACATTTTGGAGATTTTTTTTCCTAATTAGACCTACAAAATAAACAGATAGTTTCAATATTTCGTGGACATAGAGTGATAACGTATTTGTTAAATCAAAATAAGCTAATTGAACACAATTTACTTCTATACAAAAGTGCTTCGTTTATCCGTTAGAAGCCATCAATCAAAAATAAACCTGAACGTTAAGTAATTTAAAATTTTTGAAGTTTATTGCCAAATATTATTTGTGATACTAACTTAAAATTCCATATTTTCGCCATTATTAGTGCTTATTAGATTTTATGCTCCTACATAGCTTGATGAGATAAGAAACATTTTTTGTAAGACAGCATCAGAAAAACAATTTTTTCTTCAAAAAGTATGCGCAGTGGCGTTTTTTACAAGAGATAAAAAATGTAGTAATACTATATAAATTATTTTACGAAAAAAAGGCGGTCGTTGGTGGAGTTGGAAAATATTTCTGCTAAAATTTATGTAGGGGTAGTTTTCACCCTTCCCATATTTTTTCTTGATTTTTGTGAAACTCAAATGTTAACGCGCTTACCAAACATGGACACTAGGAAATGCAATCCCGCACCAAAATCTCAATCCCACAAACCCGCGGGATTAAAGCAATCAATCCCGCGGATTTGCGGGACTGTAAACAATAGTCATACATTTGGTCCGAAATGGTACAAAAGGCATTGTACATTTTGCATAGACCCACAATACATTGATATAGCGTGTATCTTTAACTAGCTGTACAGAAATTTGGACCCATGTATACAGGCTGTTCAAAAAATATATTAATATTAAATAAACTTAAATTTTATTATAATTTACTTACTTATTTTATAAATAAAAATATTATTCTGATGTTGAAGTTTTTTTTAAACTTGTGTTAGTTATCTGGTTTTAGATACACTCTATATCAATAATTTTTTGGCATATGCAGAATGTACAAAGCTTTTTGTACCATTTAGGGCCATACGTATGACTAAAAATGCATAATTTTCGAAAAAACGTCGTATTTTCCTTAAAACAAAAAAAAAGTAAAAAACCGATCAACTTGTTTTTTCTAATTTCAATACAGATTAGTCGTACTTGGTAAAAATTTCGCTTTTTTAAAAATTGTAAATTTGCGGTAAAAAAGATTCTTGATCAAATTTTCACACTCTCATAAAACACCCTGTATACGAGAATTCGCTAAATATATTTTCGAAAACCACATAGCATCTTAATCACAATAGATGCATCTAAAACCTGGTCCAAACCTCATCCCAAAATCTTTTTTAGTTCAAGAGATATTCAACTTAAAATTTAACCTAAAATGTTGCTTAGTTAAACGCTTTTCTTCACTTACGCACATACGTCAGAAAGAAATCTAACAACTAACCTGGTTGTTTCACTTATTTTTAATGGCCAAGCCGTAAGGGGAATCCCCCGGGCTCCGAGTATCGGCGCATCAGCCCGGAACGAAGCAGTTTGACCTTAATCGAGATCGATTCGGTTAACCAGTAGTAATGTGTCGATTCCGCACGGTAAATCCCGCAACTTTGATCCCGCGGAATCTCAGAGGGATCCCGCATTTGCGGGATTGCATTCCCGAATGGACACTCTAAATCTCGTTAAAATTGAAATAACAGTTCTTAAAATATCTTAAATGTGTTTGTTTTTTTAAAATTTGATGCCCTCTAACGGATAAATGAACGACTTGTATAGAGGTAAATTGTGTCCAATGAACTTATTTCGATTCCAAAAATACATAGTTTTATGTCAACGGAATATTGGGACACCCTGTGGATGCATGGAAATTATCTAATATATCTATTTGGTGATCGAAACTACACGGTTTGGATTTTAATGTGTAAGACAGTGACATATTAAATGACAAATCAAATGTATTAAAAAGAGATAAAAGTTAGGATGATACAGTTCTTCTATGCTGTATTGCCGGATTTTGCATCAACATTTCAAACCGCACAAGTAGGTGTTTACGAAAAATGTTGCATCTATAGGGTTGGAACTTTATTTTGCACAATTAGTTACTTATTTTACTACTGCTATAATAGATTCTTAAAGATCCGTCTAACAGAAATGAGCATTATTGAATAGCTTAGATATATATTATCTTCGTTTATTATTTTATTTCTCGTACGAACCGGCAACAATGTATGCCGTTTTTTATTTTGTCTCTCTGTCTGTCAACTGGTCGTATATTTATTTATCTCTGTCGTATGCATTAAAGTACACACTACGGAAATAAAGTGATCAGGGCTAGTATATTTTGTAATTTTAGCCCATGAACAACACATATGTTTAGAATTTACCATAGTAACTCGATATCAACCAGGCAAGAAGATTGATTGTAAAGCACATATTTTGTTGAAATTATTAGCAAATATAGGAGCACATCTGAAGCAAATAAAAGCTATTAAGAGTTTGAAGGATTCAGCTTTATGTAAAAGAGTATTATATCCAATTATTGAAGATTATACATTTCCTATAACACATCGTAATATTGTTCATCCGGTAAGAACTGTTATTCAGATAGTGCACTTTTATTGTTTAGATGAATGGCAACTTAGTCTTAAGTAAAAAAAGATTTAGACTTAACTAAAACAGAATACTTTAGTAAACTATTTATAACAATCAAGTTTGTTACTTTCGAATTTTTTAAAATTACATATTTAATTATTATTTAGGTATAGGATCAAGGTCACTTTGTGGACTACTTTTTCCTCATAAAGGTGCGGTACATTTTCTATATGTCTTACATATTGGGTTATTTTTGTTCTTGAACTTTTCTGAATAAGCCATTTATAAAAGTGAGCAAAACACCTGATCAATGACAAGATGCCCTAATTTTATATACATCCGCTGTGAAATCGCTTTCAAAAAGACTCAAAACTTAAGTCTTAAGGCATTTCTAAAATCAAATAGATTTAAATCTTAAGTCGTTTTCAACATAAAGTTCGAATAATTTAAATCTTCAGTCTTTGACTTAATCATTCTCTTTCAAGTCAAATAATTTTTGTAAATACTTAATATCAGTATAATGTTATTTAAGTCATTTTTGTGACTTAGGTCTATATTTTTGATTTAATTCGTGATAATTTGCAAGTTAAGTCGGCAAAATGATAGTAAAATAATTACAGTCAAGTCAAGATAGAAAGAAGCCAATTTAAGTACCTATTTTTCAAATGTTAATACAAATCTTGTTATTACCAATTTTCAACCTATTTCCTTATTAACTATATTATTCATTTATTGTAGGTACAGATAAGACTAAAACCACTTAAAATAAAACGGGTTTGTTTTCAGAATAAGTATCAAGAAAAAAAAGTAAAAAATATGAACATTAAGAATATAACTTCTATGAGATTAACTGTTAGTATTTTTTACTGTAGTATTTTTTACCTATCCAGTACAGTACCTATCTAGTAGATGTCATCGACTACAGATCTATTAAAAAGTGGTGATATGTTTTGATCACTATGCAATATGGCTATGGCATCATTTCAGCTAAGGTCTGGAGTGGCAGTGATGGTGTTTTTGATATGCTGCCTCGATGCCGGCGTGATAGTTTAAAGAGGAAATGCTGCTGTTAAAAATTTATCATAAAAATATATGAAAAAATTGAATTAAATCTTTTATAAAAAAATGTAATTATTTTAAAAGGATTAAAGCTTGATTTTCATGCATCCGTTGTCCGACGATACGATGATACGATATTAATTTTATTGATTGAATTTAAAGACTTCGGTTGGTTAGAAACGGTTAACCAATTGAAGCCTTTAAATACAACCAATGAAATTAATATCGTATCAACGTATCGTCGGCCAACGGATGCATGAAAATCAAGCTTAAGTCTTACTTAAGTCGGTTTTCTATTTCGGAATAAAGATTTGTGGCCGACTGTAGCACCAGCAGTATTGTGTCGATCTGCGGTGTGAGAGGTACTGGGCCAAGCCAATATGGCCGCTTTATTTATTTAAAATAAAAATATATATTTGCGACCAGCGAGCCGCTACCTCAAGGAAGGCAATGGCAAACCACCTTGAGTATATTTGCCTTGTACAGCCTCTCAAATAGTGCCGTTCGGATTCGGCGAGAAAACTGTAGGTACCGTGTACGTGCAAAACACTGTTGGGACACATCACAAGTACATGCGAGAGGTAGCCAACGCTCTGTACAGAGTATGGCACTGTAAGAAGAATAAATATTTAAATCACAAGTAATTTTGAAAATTACTTAAATTTTAAGTAATTTGAAAATTACTTAAAATTACTTAAGTCAGATTCCGAAAAATTATTTAAAATCTAACGACTTCATTCATTAAAATGATTTAAATAAAAAAAAGTCGTAAGTTTTCTGTCAGCTTGCGAGCTCTGATTGTCAATTACTAGATATATTTCTAAAGACAAAATGATAACTAAAAATAATATGTATATAACTTATACTCATCATTCTATTTAAATATATAAATATAAAATCATATATAAATATAAAAATCAAAAATACATTTTTTTCAAGTAGCCATAATAATTAGAAATAACGCTAAATTAAATAGGTGCATACCACGATACTAATAAAACAAGGGATGATATTGCGCATGTTGGTTACTACGTCGCAGGTGATAATTATTGCACCATTGGCCGGCAAGCTCCGCGCGCCAATTTCAAATCGTCAAACTGATGACACATAAAAAATGCAAATATTACTTTTCAAATGTCAAGCTCAATGATTTGACACAAGTTTTGAGGTTATGTCCTAATTCTTCTCTATTTTAGATGTTTTTTTATTAGTGACAATTGAACAAATATGAATATTTTTTTGTATGGCGTATGACGTCACAGGTGATATGCGCAACCTGAACGAAATTAGAGCCGGTATCGATCATACCTTGTTTTCTTTGTATCATGGCATGTGTTTGTATCATAGCATTGTTTTCTTGTTTTCTTTGTATCATAGCATAAATATGAATAAATATAAACACTAAATAAAAGCATATCTTTAAAGTTAAGAAGAATTTCGATGATTAATTGTTGTGATAAATTAGAAATTTTTGTTTTTAGAATATGTTAAATTTTGAACAAAGACAAATTGTTCTCGAAGCAGCTAGTCTCTGTACAGGTTCATCAAAGGGTATCTATTGTATCAAAGGGCCTCCTGGGACAGGAAAATCAAGTGTTATAGTGAATTTAGTTTTTCAAATATTAACTTCTTATTACATAACACAGGAAACAAAGAACCCTCCTTTGATATTGTTAGCAGCTCCATCAAACACAGCCGTTGATACTTTGTTGTCAAAGTTGGTTGCAAAGAAGTATAAGCTGCCGACTTCAGGTAACTTATTTCATAAAGCTACGTAATTTAATTTAAACAAATATTATTTAATTGATATTTGACAATAAATACGTAGTTGTTATAACCAAATTAGATATTTATTAAATCAAATTTTTAAAAAGGAATACTACTTATGTAATTAATAAAAGTAATGTACTACTTATATATAATAAAATTATATAAGGATTCTTGCCACTTAACTGCTAATATAGAAATTTAATTCTACGCTGTGTTTGTCATAATGCAGATCAACCTGCTCTCACTACCGGTTTCGGAGCCCTACTCCATCATCAGGTGAGCTTGGGAGATCCACACAATGACAACCACAGCGCAGAGATAGTTAATTCCGACTTGTCGGAAAGTATCGGTTAGATATTAAGTCCCGAACGGGAGATAGCGGCCTGCGTGCAATGGCAAAAAAAGCCTTTTACCATCCTTTTACTATCGATAGTTGCGCCTCGGTGGTACGAAAGTACTACCCTTGCACGCAGGCCGCTATCTCCCGTTCGGGACTTAATATCTAACCGATACTTTCCGACAAGTCGGAATTAACTATCTCTGCGCTGTGGTTGTCATTTTGTGGATCTCCCAAGCTCACCTGGTGATGGAGTAGGGCTCCGAAACCGGTAGTGAGAGCAGGTTGATCCGCATTATGACAAACACAGCGTAGAATTAAATTTCTATATCAGCAGTTAAGTGGCAAGAATTCTTATATAATTTTATTATATACCTATACTGCAAGAAACTTGTTTTCTATTTTATAATTTGGCTTGCCTGAAAAAGAAAGCCTTTTACCATCCTTTTACTATCGATAGTTGCCCCTCGGTGGTACGAAAGTACTACCATTGCACGCAGGACACTATCTCCCGTTCGGGACTTACTATATAACCGATACTTTCCAACAAGTCGGAATTAACTATCTCTGCGCTGTGGTTGTGATTTTGTGGATCTCCCAAGCTCACCTGATGATGGAGTAGGGCTCCGAAACCGGTAGTGAGAGCAGGTTGATCCGCATTATGACAAACACAGCGTAGAATTAAATTTCTATATTAGCAGTTAAGTGGCAAGAATCCTTATATAATTTTATTATATACCTCTACTGCAAGAAATTTGTTTTCTATCTTATATATAATGTCCCCCCCTATATCTTTGTGGCGGATTCATTTCTTTAAAAAAACTTCTGGATATTTCGCCACTAGAAAAAAATCTACAAAATAAAATAGATATTTTTGTAAACACGGCTACGTTGATCCAACGACCTTAGAATTTTTTGTCTTAAATTTTATTTTGTTTTGTTTTAATTTGGCTTGCCTGAAAAAAGCCTTTTACCATCCTTTTACTATCGATAGTTGCGCCTCGGTGGTACGAAAGTACTACCATTGCACGCAGGCCGCTATCTCCCGTTCGGGACTTAATATCTAACCGATACTTTCCGACAAGTCGGAATTAACTATCTCTGCGCTGTGGTTGTCATTTTGTGGATCTCCCAAGCTCACCTGGTGATGGAGTAGGGCTCCGAAACCGGTAGTGAGAGCAGGTTGATCCACATTATGACAAACACAGCGTAGAATTAAATTTCTATATCAGCAGTTAAGTGGCAAGAATCCTTATATAATTTTATTATATACCTCTACTGCAAGAAATTTGTTTTCTATCTTATATATAATGTCCCCCCCCCCTATATCTTTGTGGCGGATTCATTTCTTTAAAAAAACTTCTGGATATTTCGCCACTAGAAAAAAATCTACAAAATAAAATAGATATTTTTGTAAACACGGCTACGTTGATCCAACGACCTTAGAATTTTTTGCCTTAAATTTTATTTTGTGTGGTAAACTTTTATTTTTATTTTTTTCTTTAAATCATTGAAATGCCCCGGATAATTTTAACAACAAACCTTTAATTTAGAATCATATAGACGGATTAGAATTAGAATAAGTGGGAGGGGGGTTAATCTCTGCGACCTTAGAGATCTATTGTGTCCCACTTTCTTGAGTTATAACTCATCATACAGTCCCAGGACTTCCTACGGAGACCCGTGTCCCTCACAGTCGAGGAGCTACGACCCAGGCCGGGTAGACGAAACGGTAGCTTGTGTCGCCTGTTGGGTTTAGAGGTAGGAGGTAGGCTCCCGACCCTTGGAGGAGGTGGTAGCTTGTATGCCACTTGCGGAGGATGGTCTCACGCAAGTGTCAGCCACCTCTCCTGTAGTTCTCTTTGGGTTTGGCCCCTTGGAACTTTCATTGTTACTGTTCCCAGTGTCGCTAGGGGGTTTCCCACAGCTTCACCGGTGATGTTTTTATTACTATTATTATCAGATCTCATAGTGTTCCTATGAGTCGCTAGGGACAGTCGGTCCACTTCTACAGAGCCCCGCATGTAGAAGTAAGGGGGAAAATACAATGGGGTGCCCCCCGGTGCCCCAAGGTTGAGGGTGTCCGTAGCCCCGCCCGGTATCGTTATATGTCATGGTGCAATTCCCTGGCCACGACACTACAGTCAGGGACAAGACGATGAGTGAGATGCTTCTTAGACCAAGCCAAGTGCTAGAGGGGATTCCCCCCAGCACCTGACCAGGAGCTTCCCCACCAACGACAAGGTCTTGCATCTCCTAGGGGAAGATATAGACGGATAAAAACTTTATGAATGTCTTGTTGCGTATGAAAAGATTTTGTTTTATAAATATGCATAACAAGTAATAGTAAACGAACTATTGTAAATACCGTATGATAGAAGGAAAAAAAACGGCTCGCGGCGTCATTTTACATATAAAATGACAGCGATCTTCATTTCGTAACCATCGCCGACGCCGTTTTTTTTTCAATATCAATAACATATTGTATAAAATTCTTTATATTTATAGAATGGGAAAAACTTAAAATGAATATCAAATTAATACGAATCGGACCAGAAGCTAGTTTAAGTGGGGACGGAATTCTCTATTCTCTTACCTCTTTAGCAGCAAAACATGTCGGTACGAGAAATAAGGACCATCCAGCATTCATAGTATGTTTTTTTTTCTGTAGAATATTTTACTATAATTTTATTATTCTTACATAAAATTTCTATTGTATGTCCAGCGAAAGAATATATGACAGTAATAATTGTTCCCTGTTATTTTAAATCAAAAGTAAATGCGTTTTTTGCTATTATTTAGATGTCTGTCGAGAACAAGTATTCTCTTTCTGAACGAACAATAGACGAATTTTTATCAGTAACATTGTTTTTAATATTTTGTTTTTATACTATTAAAATACTAATTACAACGTAATATTCTTAGGCTGCAAGAGAATCACGTGATGATATGATGCAATTTTCAAAGAGATATTTTGGAAAAAATTATGGTCAAGAATTAAAAATATGTGAAGATATTGTTATAAAAAATAGTACCATAATTTGTACCACTTTAAATAGTTGCGTTAATGGGAAACTTATTGATGCTGTTAATCGGTAAACTATTTCTAAACATTTGTGATTATCATTCACTGTTAAACTATTATAGGGGTCTTATTAAATTTTCGTGTTGTATAATTGACGAAGCAACTCAGTGTCATGAAGTCGAATCACTGCTACCTGTTATGTTAGGCATAGACAAGTTTGTTCTTGTGGGAGATCCAAAACAGCTTAATGCAACTATCATGAATAGGGTAAGTCAAACTGAAAAAGGTATCTTCTCTCTTGTTACGATTTTTTTTAAAACTATATAAATTAATTTAGATTGTAGAATGTAGAATGTTTGGAGGAGGGGTTAACCACTGCGACTTTACATATCTATTGTGTGTTACCCGTTCTTGAGTTATAACGAGTTATAACTCATCATACAGTCTCAGGGCTTTGACAAAAGCCAGTATCTGAGACGACTTTACAGAGGCTATTTCTCCATTTCCGATATCAGTCGTACCGTTTATAGCACGAACGGTTCTCGTCTCGGCGCACTCATTGATGAGGTGTTCTGGTGTTTCCCCATTTTTCCCACAGAATTTCACCATATTCGCCGTTGTTTCTTAGCTTGAATCTACCGAGGTGTTTATTTGAGGACACTCTCTCTCAAAGTTGTACATTCTTGGTATGTCATCCACTAGCTGGGAGTTGGAAGAGTGGAATTTTTCTTTTATGGGTGTTCCAAGCTTCTGAGCTGACAATTCTCGCAGTACTTTTCCGTCAATAACCATTCTAATCATTATTGCATTAGCATATCTACCGACGACAATATGCAGTGATGTTATGGAGGTCTAGAATGACCTCCATAGCTGCTGTTGGACATGTTTCATTTCTATGATGCAGATGCATGCCAGTCTCTGTGTTTGCACATGTTTTGCTTTGCTGTACGTTGCTCTAGTTTCGTGTACCAAACAACTGCTCCATAGGCAATCATGAGTTTTACTGGCTTTGTCATTTTTTAATGTTCTTAATATGCCTGTTCCATAGAAGTCCACTGTCCAGGGTTATTCCCAGATATTTGACTTCCTGTGATGGCAGCATTTCTTTTCCATCTAGATGGATTCTTTTTAAGTTTTTCCGACTTCGCTTTCTGGTGAATTACACTACCGCGGTTTTGTTTGAGCTGATGTACAGATTGCACATGCTTTGCCTTGCTGTACGTTGCTCTAGTTTTGTGTATCAAGCAACTGCTTCACAATTAATCATGGGTCTTAGTATCATAGTATACATCTAGCGCAAAATGCTAGATCTATTTCCCTACAGTCTTCTGCATACCATGAGAACCTTTCTGGCTTTGCTGGTAATGTTCTTAATATGCCTGTTCCATAGAAGTTTACTGTCCACGGCTGTTCCTAGATATTTGACTTCCTTCGATAGCAGTATTTCTTTTCCATCTAGATAGAGTATTTTCAAGTTTTTCAGACTTCGCTTTCTGGTGAATAGCACTCCCGCAGTTTTGTCTGAGTTGATGCTCAGCCCGACAGTCCTGCGCCATCTCTCTGTGATACAGAGTCCTCTTTGGATGATATCACACAGGGTGCCTCCATGTTTCTCCCGAGCGATCTTGACTATGTCATCTTTATACCCTACGCAGTTTATTCCCGCTAGAGTTAATTTGTCTAGTAGTTTATCCACTACCAAGCTCCATAATAGGGAGGGGGTTACTCCACATTGTCGAGTTTCTTGTGTTGTTTTAACAGCTGCAGTTTTGGTACCCATCTGAGCCTCTGCTGTCCGTGTTGAGAGTATGTCCCAAAACCAGCGAATTATCGTTGTTATTATCGTTGACCCCTCTTGTTTCTAGAGATCGGTTGACCACCTTGTGAGGTATGTTGTCACACGTCCCAGCAGTGTCCAAGGCACCAATTGCTGTTTCTTTGCTATCCAGGCTTGCCTGTATTAGATCGGTTAATTGGTACAAAGCAGTTTCTGTGGTACTTTAGATTTTAAATATTTGTATTTGAATAAAGCGGGGTTAATTAACTGAAAATAACAATTTTCAGTCTTGTTAATACCATTCTAAGCTACACAGTATTATATTTCTTTTTCCTGTGTTAAACCAATAAACCTTTGCTATCTAAGTTTCGTGTGCTTATTATGTATTTTTTGCTAATATAATTATGTTTTAGGAGGCTTCAAATTTGGGCTATTCTGAAAGTTTATTTAGCAGAATATCAAATAATTTTAAGAATACTCGGAGAAGTCCTATACGAATGTTGACAACACAATATAGGATGCATCCTGAAATTTGTTCATTCCCAGCAAGACAGTTTTATGACGGATTGTTAAAGTAAGTCAATACTTCATATCTATAATTCATACTTGTGCAAATTGTGAACAATTTATTACTGAATTAGTTTATTAAATCTTTCGTGACTACCACCTTGAACTTCTTAACTTTGATATATAATCGTAATAGTGTACAACTAAAATTATATATTATTAAAAAATATATATCATCATTTATTATTTATTTATCAATGATAACACAAATATTACACTATAAAACAAAATTAGGATACACATAATTTAAATTTTGTTGTTGTACTTAATAAAAATATGACATAAAAACAATAAATAAAAACTTAAACAGTTAACTTATGCATAAAAATATCTAGTGACTATTTTCACAAATTTTGGGAGAGATTTTCTTAAATGCACGTAGAGGCAGATCAGTAAACTCATAATTTGTATAAAAAATTGAAATCAGAGATCAACTTATTAAGTCGCATGTTCTGAGCGTAACAAGTTCTATTCACGTTCGATGAATATGTAGGGTATGTATTTGTATACATATTTATATACCGATATGTGTACATATTTATATATATACCGATTGTATAATTATATTATTTTAGAGTTTAAATACAAAACATAGATCATAGTACGTTCTGCGATAATCTAGACTATTAAGATAATAATTTTTTCCTGTATAACTACTACTCATCTGAATATTATTCTGGTTCGGTCTGTAATGTGGCAATATAAGGTGGGTGGACCATGGAAGGCCATGCTCCTTTGAAGGCAAACTATAAAAAAGTCATAGTTATTGTCATGTGATGACAAATTCCTCCCACTCACACTAAGCTTCATTAAACTCAAGGACACAGACCCTCGCTTCGTAGACTTCGGTTGTCGATTGTAATTTCATTCTAAAATGCATTGGCAACTTATTTGTTCGATATAATACCCATTACTATAATTTTTAAATAATTTCCATTTTTATTATTCTTAGTTATACGATTGTGTTCAAGGAATGTTCGTTAAAGAATATTATAATATGTTAAGCATTTAATTTTTCGTTTAAATGAAAGAGCTTTATATGTAGTTTTAGTAAAAGTGGATATTTTGATTATTACAACTCTAGTTTTAAGTTGAACAACTGATTTATAATATTGGCCTTGTATGGAGCCCTGTTCCTTGCAAGGCCGTTTGGAAGAGCTTAATAAATAGTGATTACACCTAGAATAAAAAAATAATATATATATATATATATATATATATATATATATATATATATATATATATATATATATATATATATATATATATATATATATATATATATAACACAATGAAACAAGTGTTTAATTTTTTTTTAATTAATAATTTGTTTCTTTCATTTATCCAGTAAATGAACTAATAAAAACTGTTTATTCGTTACAGTGGCCTTCCATGGTCCATCCACTTTATTAAGAGCCCGAATTAAATGGATTAAAATCTATGTTTTTACATGTCATAATACAAGTTCCATATTATAGCTTTGGTGCATTTTCCATCGGTGCTGCCACCATCGGATAATCCCGTAAACAACCAAGTTATACAAATGCACGAACTTAAATAGCAAGTACACAAAAAACTTCTTATATTATTTGAAAAGTATTAGTAAGTGCAATTTGTGAAAATAGAAATAAAATAAAAAGATAAATCTTTGATATCTTCAGAAGGTCTAACGTGTATTATAAATTATTATTCTAACTAATAAAACTTTTTAGATGAGTAATAATACATACGAGTATAGTTTTGTATACTTTGAATGTGGTTGACAATCATTCAGCATTAAAACTAAAATAATTTTGGACTTCCATTGCCTTTATTTATTTTGCTTACACAACTTTTCGATTAATTAACTTTAATCTTAATTTTTTTAAAGCAGTACCTTTTGACATTATTTTTCTGCAGTACTAAAATCCATTATTTACTTATCGTGTGATGTAGATATATTTTACAGCTACTCGAGTTTTTAGTATATGTTTAGTACGATCCTTGTACCATATACGAGATGGATGCACTTATCTACGACGAGATGGTATACAAACTTTATTGATGGTAACTTTATTGGTGTAAAAGACTTTCTGTCTGGGCAGCGAGTATTAACTATAAACTGTCCTCTGGGTCTACAGTTAATTTTCCCTCGATTTTTCCTCCACTTGACTTCAAAAGACACAAAACACACGTAATAACACGAATCAAAATACATCATGTTCTAAAACGCAGTGTATTTGACATAAGTTGGCACAAAATTATAACCTATAATTTAGCAAGACTTTGACAAGCCTCAAAAATCTAAAGGCGAGTTCATACGCATCGGCACCCGTTTGTCGTTCATCGTTCCGTCAAGCCAATAAAATTGAAATATGATCTGTCATTTTTGAAACAAACCGATAAAACTGGTTAAAAACAACAAGAGACGACGCCATGACGGTTTTATATTTAAACCCATCCATAATTAATTTAAAAAATATTAGAAACTTTATTTAGTCAAATCTTTGAATAAGAAGACTAAGGAAGGAGCATATCAAAAATCTTAGGTACACCGCAATGGGCCTCAAATATGGCCGACTTAAATTCCGGTTTATCAGTGTCGTTTTAATTTTATTTAAAAAATGTAAAACTATGATGTAGGGTAGACGTGGGGTAGACTCAATAATTTGTTGTTTTATTTTACGTTGTGAATAAATGTTGGTAGTTATTAAAATTGTTATAAAAATATATAATTCTAATAAAAATAGATAAGTTATAATAAGTATTTATTAACACAAACATCCGATACGCTACTGAAGCAGGTAAGTCAAATTAACGTATCCAAATTCTTTGACATCTAATCTTTGACAAGTAATAAATAAGAGCTAAAATGCAAGAAAAATATATAATTTAGTTAATTTAAGTGAATTTCATAAATGATCGGTTTACTACACGTATGTATATTATATAGTCACTTACTAGCGAAAAGTTGTTCCATTATTTCACTCAATTTTTGCCGAGGTCTACCGCACGCTACACAATCAACTATTTTAGAATCTTTTTCGATAAATCGCGATAGTGTCACTGTTAATTTAAATTCTGCCACCATTTCCATCTAGATTTACTACCTTTATACAACTATCAGTAGTAGAATAAATAATAAATAACATTAAATAAGCTCCGTAAAGACTGACAAATCCACAAAATTTCAAATCAAATTCAAATGTGTCAAATTAATCGTCAAACAGAACTGTCAAGGATCCCCACCCTAGAGTGCTTTTTCCGCCCACCATGCATGAATACATGGATAGCATTATGCTCCTTCCTTAGTCTTCTTATTCAAAGAGTCAAATAAATAGATTGGTATGGGACGTCATCTGCTTTTCTTCTGTCATCTTCTGTCGAAATCTTACCTGAGAAAAAAAAAACAGATTATATCACTGACCGTTATTCTGAGTTCACACTTGATAACGGTCAGTGATACTTCTGACCGAAATGTTGTGTAAGCAAAATAAATAAAGACGATGGTCTTTTAAGTTTTAATAGTTTTGTATAGTTTTACGCACAGGTATTGCTAGTTGGGACTTAATTGGGACTATTTGGATTGGAACGAAATTTTTAAAGGTACATAATTGAAAAATGAATTTTAAACTGAATAAAATAACTTTGCCTATAATAACCCAATCTTCGACAATGGTGATGATAATGATCCGTTGGGGCATGTCCCAAAAACCGTCACGCATTTTTTTTAATAAATATAAAAAAAATATATTTTTTATATAAATGCATATAATAGAAAAGCTCTTACATTGGTAATTATATTTGGACCTTAGTATGCATTTATTTTACCTACATTATTTTATTATAATCTTTTACTATGGGAGTAATAATTTAGGTGCATTTTTCAGTTCTTTGCCAAATCATCCCAACAAGTTGCCTGATAAAATAAAACCTTACTTGGTCTTCAGCTGTGATAAGTTTAATGATTGTGCGGATTATACTAATGTTGACGAAGTTCATTTACTAAAAACATTGTTACATTCAATCATTGAACTAGTTGACAGTATTCATGTATATACTATTGGTATTATTACTCCATATAATGCGCAAAAGGATCTTATTAACCACAACATTAAAGATTTGCTGTAAGTATTGAACCATTAATAATATCTACTAATACTAATAATGCTGATAATAGTAATATTCTTTCGTTCTGAAGAAACTGAAAATTTTCACTTAAACTGATTTATTCCCTTTACGTGGTATAGGAAATAAATCAATTTAAGTGAAAATTTTCAGTTCGTTCAGAACGAAAGAATACTACTAATATAACATATTCATCATTTTAGGTATTCAAAGAAAAATTGTAAGATTACAGTAAATACTGTTGACAGTTTCCAGGGATCTGAAAATGACGTAATTATAATTTCGTGCGTGCGTAATACAACAAATTCATTCTTGCAAAATGAAAATAGACTGAATGTTGCTTTGACCAGAGCAAAACAGGTTTTGTACATTATTGGAAATTACAATTTGTTTAAGGTATGTGTTTTGTCATGTTATTTTAATTCTTTCTTTATTGGGCAAGAGTTAAAATTATTGAGCACAATCAATTTGTTACATTTTAGAGGAAGTTATTTCTATATTTTTTTTCTGAATTTTAGGAATGCCGAATATTGTACGATCTTAGAGAAGATGCAAAAAAACGAAAAATGATTTTAAATATTAAGCAAAATCCACAGACAATTACTAGCTTTCGTAAATATCTAATAAAGCAGATGTAATCATTTTTTATATTATAAGTATAACGTTACATATTAAAGTGCTTTTTCTGTTGCATATTTGTTTTACAAGAAAAATCTTATTGTACTGTAAACTGTACATTCTTGATTCATTAATAGTGTTAAACTTCTGTACAATTGATACCAATACTATTTCTCTAAAATTTTAGAAATTTTTATTTTTATTTATATATTATTAAATCAAGTACCGTGTACATACATTTTGATATAAAGTTTGATATTATGAATATGAAACCATCTATTATTTCGACGGTTGTAATGGGTATATCAACTTTTTTTATTACAAATGTACAGGCTAATAGAAATTTGTCCGCCACCATTGGAATCTCGTAAACTGTAGGAGATATGAGGATGGTTAAATTGGAGCAAAATTGTGCATTAATGCGCCTAATAACATGCTGTTTAGAGATATTTAAAATTCTGACTAATTCTAGAGATATTCCAGAAAAACCGAAAATTGAAGAATTCGATTTTTTTTCTGATGTTATTTGACAAGATGCCCTAAAACTAAAACACATTTTCATTGCCACTTTTTTCCGGCTATACAACAGTGTTTTCAGATTTGTCATTGGATGTTTCGTCTTTTGAGCACCATTATCAACTTTGTTCTTTTATAGGCGCCATATTAGATTTTACACATCTAGTAGATAAATTCATTCCGAACGATGTATTATTTATCTAGTAGATAAATTCATTCCGAAATTGTATATAGTGGCTTTTAAACGTCAATAATTTGTTCGTTATTAATTAAGAATCGTTTTTTGGTTTTGGTTGTTTGAAAGACAAACGCGACATGTTAAAATTTTATTACAAAAGAAGGGTCCAGGGGAAAACATGATAAGGCCATTTCACTAATTTTACAGGAGAGCACCGGACGGCTGGTGGTTATCAGGTTCTTTCCGTGTATTCTATATTTTTACTAGGCACATATCAGGATTTAACAACTTATTACCCTGCGAGTTTATACATTTTGTAGGGACCAGTTAGACCTACTATAATATTGTAAAATCCTAAAATTAAGCGCTTATTAAGTTTTTTCCCTGGACCCTTCAAATTTGACATATAACGTAAGAAAACCAGAAATATATTTACAATCGTATCCAGAAAAATAACAACAAGACAATACTATTGAAAAGCTGGATTTAAAAACCAATGAAGATACATGGAAACTAATAAACATAATAGTAGAAAGCCTTTAATTTATGCTATAATTGTAGTAAGTCTTCAAACTGATCCTGGAAACATAATTGTACCCTAGAAGCAAACTATGTTAAGCCCAAAATTGGCATATTCGAGATATATACGTCAAGTTACTTAGCTTTTTATGTTCTACCCTTTGCTTTTTCTCGGTTTACCCTATCTGTTCCAATAAATAAAATAGTCGGTTTAAAATCAAATATTAACTGCCCTAGTATCCAAATTAATCCCTGTGCTAAATGAGGTTAAGCCACGTAAACGCAGTTTGACTCAAAACTCTTTGGTTAGTTTAGTATGTTATGTCCACGGGTCCACAGTGACGAAAATTGATTTTGACAGTCTTGCTATAGGGTAGTCAATTTAAACTTAAGATAGTAATTTCCTGTTAAATGTTTTCTTGTTATAGCAGTACTATACTTTTATTTGGACTTAAAATGGTTTGGTTAGCTTTATTAATTTTTTTTTTATAAATAGGGACTTAATATAAGTTAAGTCCTGGAAATGCTTTTTTTTTCTTCTAATATACAAATTATGTTGTCACTCAAAAAAATTTTGGTATTTATAATTTGTTATTATATTGGTAATTTATTTAAAAAACTGTTTTCCATTTCAATTAAGTTCAAAATAAGAAAAAAAAGTTGGTCATATACCAAAAAATTAAACCTATATACCATTAAACCTATATAAGGTTTAAAAGTAACCGAATTTAGGAAATAACTTTAAAAAAGAATTTTACATTCGTGTTTCTCAAAACTATGTTTTGTTTGTAGCGTAACATAGTTTGCTTCTAGGGTACAATAATAGTGCCCATCGATTTAAATTATTGACAGCTCTCCAGCTACAGATATTGTTACTTCAGTAAAAAATGAGGTCCTAATAATCGATCACCGTAAATACCTGCCCATACATTTAGCTGAAACGAACTTGAAAGTCTATCTTCCTTAAAGTGTCTGGAATTATTTGCGCTTCAAATATGTTAATTAATTCTATTGAACACAGCAGAATTTGTAAAAGTGCTTTCATTAGTCCAAATAATATTTTGGAAACAATCGAGAAACTCAGTAGCTTTATGAGCCAATGGCAGTATTTGAGCCTTCTCTCAGATCTCCGGAGCGTAGTCTTTGGGAAATATGTATTCTATAACATTTCAAATCCACTCGTTCAAGTTCCCTCTAAACCCTCTGTAGAACTGTAGACCATTAATCTTGTGTTGGTTTGGATTAAAGTATTAGGATTATTATATTAAAGTATGATGGATATGCTGCAACATAACTCTCCTTATCCGAATTATTTTTGTGTTTTTTCTCTTTTAAATAAATTAAAATTAAATATTAATTATTTTTTTATTTATGCAAAAACCAGACACAAAACAATGGTTCCATTTAACGGGAAAATTTTTTGTGTGCGTTTGGTTTTGCGGGTTTTGCTGCAGCAAGATATTTGTATTCCAACTTGGAATTATTATGTATGCTATTTTATTAAAATTAGGTAAGGATTTTAAATGGATAAGACGTCAGTAGTTTGTTGCAAAAATGACAAAATGACGAAAGCAATAATGACAATAAAAAAAAGATAAGTGTATAAGACGGATTTTGCTGCAGTAACATAATTTGTAGTGATTTTTTTATATAGGAATAGGGGACTTTTGCTGCAGTTTGGGACTATGTTTATGTAGATTTTAGGGTCCACTATTAATGTCATCATTAAGCCATTAATCATTAGGCCATTTTTTTAAAATGATAATAAGGCGGGTTTTTCAACTTGACGCCTCAATTCTAATATTAATTTTCAAATGAACCGTATTGCAAACATTGAATTAATTTTCACGATTCTTTAAACGAACAACCCGTAGAAACAAACGAGTCGCATTGTGATCCGATTCATTTCTTGCGACGGTCTTTTACGACTCGTTCGTTGACATTTTATAGATCCGTGCTGGCCATGATTCATTTGAGCGAATCGTATTCTGGGAAGTGATCCGATTTAATCCTCACGATTGTTTTCTACGACCTACGACTCGTTCAATCGCTCATATTATTTTATACATACGTCGTGCTATTCTATGGAGACGTATCTGCCAGATTCAATTGAACGAACCGTATGCTAAGCAGTGAATTGAATCTCACGGTTCATTTTTAATAGTCATTCAAATGAACGACTCGTTAAATTTTTGCCCGCCTCTAGTGCAAATTTACAGACTCCGCTTGGGAAAAGGCCACTAAGTTGCTAACCGATTTACCGAACTACAAATTCCCCATCCGCACTGATCGCAGATCGGCGAGAAACTTCGTTCAGAGATCACCAACTGCTGCATGTGCGGCTCCGGCATCAGAAGCAAATAAAGAGAAAATAAAAAAAAATATTTCAATTTTGTAAGTCATAGATATTTTTAAAAGTAAATATCACAATACCATACGATTGAAAAAAAACGGCGTTAAAGACGGCTGGAGAGTGACAATCGATGATAATTTTGGCGAGGTTAATTGAATGGCGCTTAGAAGTTAATAGAATTTATTTTTTTATCGAGTAAAAATGTTTTTTTAAACGGTGTAGTTTAAAATTCTAGAAAATAATTTTTTCAAAATAGATTTGTGTGTCTGGAAACGTTTTATCCCTTTTTAATCTTTCTATAGTTAGTGTTAATTTCAAGTTTAAGTCAATTTTTAGTAAAGGGCGTCTAAAGATTAACCTCGCCAAAATCATCTTGGTGATTCCTTAGCCCTCTTTGACGCCGTTTTTTCGATAATACGGTATAAACAATGTTAATAGGTGGTGTTATATTTTAACTAATACTGGGTATCGCCATGGAGGTCTTCCGTCGAAGTTTCATGGTTCATTTTTACCTTTAAATGTCGTCGTCAATGTTGAACTTTTTCTCTTGTAGGTGGCGATATCCTATGGTCAAACCAGAGGTCAAACCTCAAAGGTCTCCTAGGTTCAGCATGGCGTAGTTGAAGAATGGGCTTCTTGCATGCGTCTGGTAAAATAAAACTGTTTATGATTATAATATGTTCAACGAGAGGATCTCTGATAGTGACAGTTGTGCCTCTCATTTTAATTCACATGCAAACATAGATAAAGGAAACAAGTTTAGATTGGAAAGTGCCCATAAGGACAATGTAAATACTATTTGGCGCTATTCTTGCAACGGTCGCTCTTCAAAGCTTTTGATAATTTCGGAGCGGTTCGGCTTTTTCCGGGAATGTCATTTTTTCTTTTTCACAATTATCACGGGTTTGAGCAAATAAAATTGAAATTAAACTCTCTAAACTAAAAAAAAATAAGATAGCAATAATTACTTTAAAAATGGACGCTTTCAACATTTTTCGGTATTTTTTCAATAGGGGCTGTTTAAATTTTGAAAGATTTTATAATTTTTGAAGATTCTGACTTTGACAAGAAAAAAATATTTCTGTTCTTGTTTACGGTTCAACCGCTATAGCAGTGCAAGATCAGGCGCCAGATCCCGTACAACCAAAGTGTACAACAAGTGTAAAGTACGTCTACTTGATCTGTGTCTATGAAAGGAATGCGGACAAAAAACATTTAAATAAACTGCAATATATTTTATAAATTTCTACCTAAATAGAAGCGGCAGAAAACACTCCGCCCACTCATTTCATTGGCTACCGTCTAATTTTTTACGAGAAACATCGAGAGAATATCGTTTCCTCCCTTACGGATGCCCCGTAGGCAGAACGGATAGACTTACTGTACAACCTATGCACCCCAAAACAATTACCTATAAGTTTTGGCGGAAAGCCGAGCATTTCAATCTAAACTTGTTTCCTTTATCTATGCATGCAAATTGTCAATAAATTCCAATATACCTACCCCA